AATAGAGATACTATAGCCATAAAAAATCAAAGGCAATAAAGTTCTCTTAATCAAATTAGCAGAACCTCTCTCTAACCTCTCTCGCTGCTACTCGTTTCTCGCGATTGCGATGGCGACCTCGTCGTCGGAATCTGCTCCGACGACGGGCAAGGTTTCGGGGGGTTGTTCCTGGGCGCAGTTATTCGACATTGTTCCGGAGAATCGGATAAAATATCGTCATCCAGAGCGTGTTAATGATGGGTTTCGCATCCCTCGGGAGGTAAAGCAAAAGGGGGAAGAGCGATGGCGGGATTGCTTGATCGGGCAGTTCGTTGGAGCTCAACCTAAGGTGGCGCAGTTGCAGACATGGGCTACCTCAATTTGGGGGAGAGATGGGACTGTCCGGGTGTCCAGATTTGGGCCTCGATTGTTCGTTTTCCAGTTTCCTTCTGCTTCAACCAGCAGGTGGGTTTTCAGATCAGGACCATGGCACTATCAAGGGAATCAGCTCTATCTCAGGAAGTGGGCGCCGGGGATACAGCCAGTTGCTCCTCAGGTAGAATCTCTTCCTATCTGGGTTAACATTTGGGGTATTCCTCTGGAGTACCACTCGGTGGAGGGGTTGGAATGGGTTGCTAGCACGGTTGGTCCTCCTCTCTGGATGGATAAAACCACAAGGGTGGGTGGGCAGCTGGGATATGCCAAAGTATGTGTTGATCTTGCTGCGGATTGTGGCTTTCCCTCCATGATCCGTCTCTATCCTGATGAGGATCCGAGTTTTGATGTGGAAGTAGAATATCTGAATTTACCTAGGGTCTGCCCTGTCTGTGCTGTTTATGGTCATGATTGCAATGCCCTGGCTCGAAGCAATAAGAAGTGGGTAGTCAAGCAGAAAGTTCAGTCTAATGTTAAGACAGGATCGGGGGAAGTTCTTGTTGATTCTGGGGAGTCATCTGTGGTTGGGTCTGAGCTGCAAGCTGAAGTAGGAACTGAAGGGAGTCATATAGTTCAATCTGTGGTTAGTGCAGTACTGAGTGACAAAACACAGTTAACAGAACCTGTGGCTACCAGTGTGGGTGTTCAGGATGTCTCAACTATTCCTCCTCCAAATGGGAATGCAAATGCTAGATTTGTGGATGTGGTTCTGGGATCATCAGTTGATACTGGGAGTCCTAGTGCCCTACTGCAACAGCCTGTTGTAGCTAGTTCACCTGTTTCAGGGAAGCTAGTTACTCAGACTCCAGTATTTGTAAAAGAGACAAATCCTTGGATAACTGTTGGCTCTAAGAAGAAGCCTACTACTCCTAGAGTGATTGAGCATGTTCTTCCTCGAAAAGGGGGGAGGATTGGAAAGAAGAAATGAAGATACTCACATGGAATATCCGGGGGTTTAATGACTCGGATACAACAGCTGATTAATACACATAGTATAGATATTGTAGTTATACTAGAGCCTAGAGTTAGAAGTAATAAAGCTGATGAGCTGATAAATAGACGTTTCTCTGGTTGGAAGTCTAAAGTTTCTAATAATGCTGCTGGTCTGGGGAAGTTGTGGCTTCTGTGGAAGGCAGACATTAAACTTCAGGTTTTACATACAACAGATCAACTTATCCATGTTATGGTTGGGTCAGGGGTTCCATTCTTTTTCTCTATCATCTATGCACCAAATGAGGAGGCTGACAGAAGATATCTCTATTCTGATTTGGTTAAATATCAAGTGGATTCACTTCCATGGGCTGTTTTAGGGGATTTCAACGCTATTGGGGATCCAAGTGAAGCTTCAAATCATCCTCAAGTATCTAGTAGTATGTCTGACTTCAGGAAGTGGCAGTATGACTGTGAGGTGGAAGAGCACAAGGCCTCAGGGCCATGGTTTACATGGATCAATAAACAGCAGGGTAATCCAATAGCTAGGAGACTTGATAGAGTTTTTATAAACACCAAATGGTTGACTGAACTACCTTTGAGTACAGTGGATCTCCTTGATCCTTCAGTCTCAGATCATTGCCCCATTCTGCTTGACTCTGACTGCTCAGTGAAATCATTGCAAAAAATGTTTAAGTTTTTTAAATTCTGGATTCAGCACCCTCAGTTCATGGAGTTGGTTAAACAGGCTTGGAGTTCACAAGTAGTTGGTTCTCCTCTGGTTCGAGTATGTCAGAAGCTGAAGATCTTGAAGGGCTTACTAAAGAAACTTAATAGAGAGGTGTTTTCTGATTTGCCTGCAAGAGTGAAGCTGAAAGCTGCTGAGTTACTTCTGGCTCAGGCAGAAGCTCTTAGCCACCCCTCACCTCTTACATTTGAGGCTGAGAATAGACTTTCTAAGGAAGCTAAAGAGTTGAGAGAAGCTGAGGAGTCCTTTTTTAGATAAAAATCTAGAGAAGTTTGGTTGAAGGAGGGAGATTCAAATACTCCTTACTTTTTCAGGTCAGTCAAAACCAGACAGAAGAGAAATATGATTAGGTCTCTTATTGATGAGGCTGGTCATAGGGTTACTGATTTGGAGCGTATGACTAAGATAGCAGAAGAATTCTACATAAAATTATTGGGAGAGGAGGATAAAGAGGTGGTTGCACCTTAGGTAGATCAAATTAGAAGTTTACTGTTAAAGAAGCTAATCCCTGCTCAGGGGGTTGACTTATGCAAACCAGTCACTGCAGAGGAAGTCAGAGCCACAATGTTTGGCTTTAATGGGGACAAAGCCCCTGGCCCTGATGGATATCCAGCTTGCTTCTTCCAGGCAGCTTGGAGTATTGTGGGAGCTGAGGTAACAAGTGCTATCTTATACTGCTTTCAAGTGTCTAATATCCCAGTAAGTGTTAACTCCACACTTTTAGCCCTTATACCTAAAGTTCATAGCCCAGAAGAAATGAAGTTCTTTAGACCAATAGCTTGCTGCAACATTCTTTATAAGTGCATAGCTAAGATACTTGCAACTAGATTAAGTGCAGTTATGCCTTGTGTCATCAGTGAATCCCAAACTGCTTTTGTTAAGGGTCGAATCATCGGGGAAAACATTTTGTTGGCTCATGATCTAGTTCAGAAGTATGGTAGGAAAAACATCTCCTCAAGATCCTTAGTTAAAGTTGATTTAATGAAAGCCTTTGACTCTGTAAATTGGGATTTTCTGTTTAGAGTGCTTGAAGCTATGGGTTTTCCAAACAAATTCCTTGACTGGTTGAGAATGTGTGTTACTACACCAATATTCAGTATTGGTTTTAATGGTGGGTCAGTAGGTTTCTTCCCAGCCAAGAAAGGTTTAAGGCAGGGGGACCCTCTTTCCCCCTATCTCTTTGCTGTGGCCATGGAGGTTTTTTCTTGCTTGATGCATAAGGCTGTTACTCAAAATGTCATGCCCTTCCACCCCATGTGCAAAAGATTGCAGATTACCCATATAATGTTTGCGGATGATCTCTTACTATTTTCTGATGGATCAAATTTTGGAATTCAGTGTATCCAAAAGGTATTGGATGAGTTTAGATACATGTCTGGATTGAAATCAAACCCTTCCAAATGTGAACTTTACTGTGGAGGTATTGATGATCAATGGCAGGAGCTGATGTCTCAGCATTCAGGGTATAAGCTGGGGTCACTTCCAGTTCGATATTTAGGTCTCCATCAAGGCTTGTAAGCCTCTTATAGACAAAGTTATGAGTAGAATCAGTAGTTGGAAGTCAAAAACACTTTCTTATGCTGGCAAACTTCAACTGGTGATGTCTGTGCTGTATAGCCTTGCTCACTTCTGGATGTCAATTTTTATTGTGCCTAAGGCTATCATTAAGGCTATCGAGAATGTGCAGTGATTTTTTATGGGTAGTAGGAGAGGGTGCCAGGAGAAAAGCAGTGGTGGCTTGGTCTCGAATTACTTATCCCAAACATGAAGGGGGGCTTGGTCTTAAAGATATGTATACTTGGAACCTTGTTTGTGTAATTAGACATATCTGGGCTGTTTTGCTTAGACAAGGGTCATTATGGGTTGCTTGGCTTTGGGAATATCGTGTAAAAGGGGGCAATTTCTGGACTCTTACCTCTAAAGCAGGGTCTTGGTTATGGCAGAAAGTATTGAAAATCAGAGATAAACTCAGGGGGTGGCTCTCTGTTGCTGTTGATGGGGTTTATTGGAAGGGTGTTCTTATGGGAAAATTCTGCATAAGGAAGATTTGGGAGGAGCTTCGTCCAAAGAAGGGTAATGTAGCTTGGGGGAAACTGGTTTGGAAAGGAACTAGCATCCCAAAGAACCAATTCCTGGTTTGGCTAGTTATCACTGACTGTATCACCACTGGAGAAAAGGTTCAAAGGTGGGGAGGTTCTGGTGACTTTGGATGTGCTTTCTGCTCTTGTAGCCTGGAAAAAAGATCTCATCTTTTTGCTGCATGCTCTACGTTTAAACAGCTGTTTGCAGCTTTGTTTTGTAATTTTGCAGATCGAGTCCCTGGGAATCAATGGGATGGTGAGCTTCAGTGGGCCTTAAATGCTTTCAAAGGTTCCACTGTCTTAGCACAAACTGGGAAGCTGATTTGGCATGCTCTAATTGCGTCAATATGGAGAGAAAGATGCTTGATTAAGTTTGCAGGGAAGAAAACTGATTTCCATGCTTTGGTTCAGAGGGTCCAAGGAGATATAAGGGTTGTTGGAGATCCTTCAGTTGTGTGTTTGTTCTTTTGAGCAGTTGATTGAGTGATTACTTTGGTTTTTTTAGTGTACAGGGGCCTGTTATTCCCTTTGCTCAGCTGGCAGAGATGTTGCCAGCATTGTACTTGGTTCTTTTGATGAAATGAAATCCCAACCGCTTCATAAAAAAAAAAATACCAAGCCTTCGCAAAACTGTCATTTATATTCCAAAAATTTTAATAAGTACATAAATATTATTTTTTTCCTAAAATTTTCATTGACTATCAAAATTAACAAATTGACCTAATAAAGATCATAACATATCTGACCATTGATTATGTGGTGTCGGTTAGTGAGCGATATATGATTCATTATTCAATTAATTCTTAACATGATATCGGAGCATTCTGTAACCGAAATGTCTTATATTCGAATTCCAGCAACTCCATCTAGAGTCCGATGACCAATTCACTCGGACTCAACTCTCTCCAACGGTTGGTTAATACAAACCGCGTGTTTTGGTTTGTAGAAAAATAGAAGATCATAATTCAATCATTTGACTTGTTTGTGTAGTAAACCTTGAATAAGTTACAAAAAGAAGCACAAAACACAAGATAGGCATTATTATTATTATTATCATTGTATTCCATTTTTTTCCTCCTTCCATTTTCAGTACTGGCAGTATCGGGAGAAGCCAGGACCCCCATAGTAGAAGTAAGCCCCGTAGTCCGTATCGCTCCTCTGCACCGCCACGTCATAACACTCCGGCCGCTGCGCTCTCCCCTGAAGTGTGTCAGCGTCTTTGGCCACCCCGCCTCTGGTCAGGTAGACCAAGTTCTTGAAGAAAGCCGCCTTCCCAAACCCCTCGCTAGGAAAGTGGCCGCTGCCCATGTCGGTACTGGTGTGGAACCCGGTCGGGTCGGAATTCACCACCTCTCCTCCAAACTCCACCAGGCTGGACCCGCTCTTCAAACCGCCGGTGAAGATGCTCGGCGGCCAGTATCCTACTATTATACCCTGATAGGTCAGCCACCAGTTCCCGGTCCTAACATCCTGCACCACCACACACCAACAACAACAGAAACAATAATACTCATGAGAACCAGCTCGCTCGCGACCACGCGTCACAATAAGTCGTTTATGTTATTTTTTCGTTACAACGTATTCTGACATGAGATCTCTCGATATATAAAGAACATCACGACATTGTATTGAAAGTTAGTTCTTCCTAACACACACATACCCAAAAAAAAGTGTGCCCCAAATTTTTAATTTCAGAAAAAATAATGAATTTGGCACCATTTTGTTATGCATATACAAATGGGGATTCTAAACTTGAGCAATGCTTCTGACTGATAGAGAAAAATAAAAGCAATTTTTTTGAGCTGTTTAGTCAGTATCATTTCTCTCATTTCTGTTTGGAGTACATAGATGCAAAAAATAAAATTTTTGATAATTTTTTATTTTATTTTTTGGTGCGAAAACGGAATGTTACGGGTACCCTAACCGTCTATCATTAATCAGACTTCCCACCCCAATAACATCAAAATACAGCCAATAATTCAAAAGAGGATCAGGCTCCTCCTCCATGAGATGGAAATCTAATGTTAACCGGTGTCCCACCGAGGCTAGGTAGGTAGTTGGCAACGAAGTTGCCTTCTCTAAAAACATGTACCAGCCGAACCTGCCAGTCGGCAACGGATTTTCGATAAATTTAATTATGTAGATATATTTAATGTATTTATCATTTATGTGTTTATAAATACGATTAAAATTACCAAGGCTATTGGCATCAAAGAATTACCAATAGATTGTATTAAAAAATACCAACAGATAAAAAGTGGGGGGAAATCGAATATACAAGAGTTCTCATTCTATTCTTTATACAGTAAATAGATCATTACCCTGCTGATTCTTATGGTGATCTGTCGTTGAGCGCCACCATACTTGGAAAAAGGCTCTATTCTGCCACCAAGCACAACCTTGTTACTCGTTTGCACAAAACCGCCGCAGCATAGGTTGTAACATCCGGTCGATCCATATCCGTCAGTCTGGTCACGAAAAGTCCGGTGAGATCAATACTAATAATTAACCACTGATGCATATCACTAAAAGCAAAGACGTTTTAGCGAAAGAGTCGCCGAAAGCTAAATTCTGTGTCTTGCATATTGTAACCGCTTTTCGGTCACAAAAGCTGCATTTTATTTTTTGTATAAAGTTATTTTTCTGAATGAACAATCAATGGACGTTAATATTTAGATCACTTACGGTCCAATATATGAATAAGAGCGGAAGTTTGAAATCAGCAGTGACCTGCACATAACGAAAAACTGATCACGGATATTTTCAGTGTTGAAAATAATTTAATTAAGAACCCAAAAATTAATTGTCGACCTCAAAGTACGAACTTAAGGTGTGATGGGTGTTATAATTTAACCGAATAATTCGAAAATTGAGGTATTTCAAAAGGAAAAGAGGGAGGCATTATTTTTTTTTTATTATTAATTTAGACAGACCAGCCAGCCAACTTCAAGAGTGTTGATCGCTTTGCCTCCGCCATCGGTGACCCAGACTTGAGCTGCACTGTATTCTTTTTGCCAGTTAACACTTGGATTCCACACATTGATAATTCCAGTTACTCCTTGCACATCCTCTACCGGCAAAAACGCCACAGCGTACTGAAATAAGTTTTTGTTTTCCATATTCAATTAATTAGTACCAATTAATTAGGTTGTCAATGCCATGACAAAGCAATAATATTATAATCATAAATATACCTCCCTGATGTTGGACGGTGGCTTCGATTCGGATTCCGAAGGATCTTCTTCATGGCCCCAAGGACGTGGTGTCTTTTGTGGGAAATCCTCCGTTGAAGATTGCAAAATTGGGATGGTTCCCTCAGGGCAAAACTCTCCTTTCTTGTGCCAACTCTGAATGTACTGCAAGCCGGAGGCCGAATTATTCGAGTAGCTCCTCGATTTCACTCCGAACGGATCCAAATTGGTGGGTCGCATCTGAAAAATAAAAATTGAAATAGAATCGCACTTGAATGCTCATTAAATGTGGTTACCCAAATCAAATTTCATCGTCTTATGATAAAAAATAATAAAAAATTTGTGGTATACACGCGTGCATGCGTGTGTACATAGCAGTTGTTCAGATTGTAAGTAGTTTTACCTGGATTGTGTGATTTCTGAGCTCCGGATGGCTAAAAGCCGGTTGCTTGTAGATATCCACACAATGAATCGTTTCACCGTCTTCCTCATTCTGTCACAACAAATAACGAGACACCCATTAGAATATCGTTTCCCCTTTAATTAATTTGTCTCACAAAAAAATAAGGTAATAATTCTGTTCAAATTAACAAAAACTTATTCATCATCTGTACTAATTAACCTCAATGGTTTTCAGTATGGTCAGAGGATCAAGGAGCCCACAGCCCTTCGCTCCCAAAGCCTGGAGGAGAGGTGATAGTACTAGGAGGAGAATCGTTATCCAACTCGTGAAACCAGTCATTGTTTTAAGAGTTTTAGCAGTAGCCTCCATGGGCAGAGATTGCAAGACAAATTGTACATGAAAATGATAATGGATTTACACTTATATACAAGTCTCTTGACTGGGCTTCTAGTTCTTGTTTCCATATAATTTTTTTTTTGGTAGAATGTTTCCATATAATTTTAAGGCCACTACATTATACTCTCCAAAAATTTTGAATTTTCTTTTGTTATATAGAAAGTTAGCTGTACAATGGATAATTGTCTACTACTACTACTACTATTATTATTATTATTATTATTATTATTATTATTATTTTCCTTTAAAAGAATTTTATTGGATTTTTATTGACTAAAATGTTATTTTTAACCAAAATATTGGATATCATATTTTACGAAACGGTCCATAATTATAATATTCCTATTTATACATCTCTACACATCCTCCTATAATTTATTATAGAATTTTTCTTACATTTTCTACTTTTAAATTTCATGCAACGAGAGTAAAATTAGGAAGAATATTTTATATAGTGATTTCTTTTTATTTCATATAAAAAAAGTATTAGCAACAGGATTTGAACCAAGCTCCCATCAGAGAAAGCCAAGAATTATGATCAATTACACTAAATAAATTTGTTGTATCCTTTTGAATATAAAACATATACGAAGTTAAAATCTCAAAAGCAGAGGATATTTTCATCGGGGTTAGCTAACCCCCTCAAATGAAGCCAACTCAAAGGGGCTTGAAGTTTGCATACGTCCGAATACCATGTGCTTAACAGAACATATGGGGTCATTGGGATTCTAACATCTAATGCGTGAACCCCAGCCCTCAATTTTCGAACACAAACCATATGTTTCATTTCATATTTAAATGAAAATCAACGAATCTAATCCTTCAAAATGATCAAAGTACAAATAATAAGTGTGAAAACAGGCATATAGTGTATGATATGTATGCTCCAAATGATATGACCGTTAGATATCCTTTTTGAGCTCCGACCAATCTCAACGGTCAATTAATATTTTTTTTATTAGATTGAACTTCGAGTTTGAATTTAGAATCGGGCCCTAGGGCTTATCCATTAGAGGTTAGGGTATAGTATCATACCCCAAACTAGGTTTACTTCATGGTATAGTTAGAGATATCTCACAAAGAGTACTTGGAGTATAGTATACTCCAGGCATACGCTATATGCGTGTGTTCACACTTGGTTTTTGCACTTCAATATATTTCGCTGAATCAAAACAATCGGTTATTATTTTTTAGATTAAATGAATCTTGTGGCCTGAGTTGGAGAATCAGGGACTGGGGTTCACCCATTAGAGGTTAGGGTATAGTATCATGCCCCAAACTCCGGTTAATTCGTGTATAAATGGTAATACCAGATGGGCGTACAATGTACGCCTGATTGACGTATGCTAGCCTGATTCAATACACCAATTAAACCTTCAATTTGGAATCTCAACCCAATAACAAAAATTGTAAACCTAAACCCCAACCCTAAATCATAAATCTTTCAAACTAAAGTAAATCTTTAATGATTTTATCAAATTCATGTGGTTTTTGTTCATAATATCATAATCAATGGTCGATACAGTTTTGACATGAATCACATGCTCGGAATGACGATTATGAGACGAGTGCATTGAATGCACCCCAAAAAGTGGGTGCATTGAATACGCCACCATATATATATGGATTGGGCTAGCATCCACTTGTTTCATTGTACGTCGATCAATTTTGTTATTTTAATCTTGAATTAGCCGAAGTTTGAGGCATGTAACTATATCCTAACCACTAATGAGTAAACCTCAATCCCTAATTATCTAACCAAAATCATAAGATTTATATAAAGAAATAAAGCAATAAAAGATATTGTGAATACATGATACTATTTAAGAAATTTTTTTTTGAGTTTTCAAGCACAACCTTTTCATGCAAGTTATCGTACAAGATAAACTTAGTATTTGTAATCATTAACAAAAGCGGTGAATGCATAAATCTTATGTTTGAATGTTAATATATTAGTAAAAAAGAATAGTGAATGCATGATACAATCTTTAAATGCAAAAATAATGAGAATGATGGTTAAAATGTACCAGGATTGAGCTATTATCAAAATCATAATATATCTAACTTATTTTTTGTTTTCTTCCACAGCAAAAAAAAAAAATAAAAAAAGAACACACTCAACAAATTCAAAGATGGAGGAGGGAGGAAGAGGGAGGCTCCGACATTGAATGTTCCCACAACAATAAACTCTCAGCACGTTCGAGTCAAGAGAACAAGGAGGAGGAGGAAGAGGAGATGAACAAGACTATAGATTTGACTCTCTCATAAGAAGTTTCATTTCTTTTGAGACATGGAGAAAACATGTCCCTCCCTCAAAATTTTCACTATGGTAGTCTCATTTTCTCTTTTGTTGCTTTCTCTTTTCACCTTATTTCTTCTTCTTTCTCTTCTCCACCAGTTGACAATAACCCTTGCCCATTTCACTACATTCATCCTTTGTCTTCTCTTTCCATTGACCATAACCCTCACCCCTTTCACCACATCCATTCTTTCACCTCTCCACCAGTTGACAAGAACCCTTACCCCTTTCAACACTTTCAGCTATCACCCACCATGTTGCCTTATGCATTACAATTGAAGAGACTCGCTCTTCCCTCTAGCAAATACAGAAGCTTGTAGGGCGCTAGAGTTATTTATAATTGAAGTGAATGCAGCTCAAATAGTGACAATAAGAGCATGAGAATGGTATAAAGGGTACTATTTGCTGAAAAATGATTTCCTCCTAAAATTTAATGCATTGAACTTGGAATTGATGGATGCATATTGAGAGGCGATGACAAGATACAACATCAAGATCGTAAAAAATACGAAATCCAAGTTTCGCATAAAAAGGAGGCCAAGCTTGTCACGAGAAAAATAGCACGAAGTCTCCCACTTGGAGATGGATGATACATTTTTTACTTCTCATACATTTGACATTTGTTTTTCTATTTATCTATTGAGCATGCATGTATTGAAAGTTTTGGAATCGGTCTCTTAAAATTGGAGCACATTTAATTTGTTTTGTTTGTTGACTAATATGAAACTACTATGTTTGCTCATTTTCTCCAGCTATTACTTAGACATGGATGCCTCCCCGAGGTTGGGTTACGTGTGGAAGGGCCAGTTCTGAGGGATGGGGATGGGTAATCATTATGATCTCTTACAATTATGAGACATTAACAAACAATATCGAGGTTAATAGGAAAAACATTTTTATTTTTTTGAGCAAGAAAATATTTTCTTTGTGTGTGAGCAACTTAGAAAAGGTTATCTGGAAAATACGTAAGAAAAATTTACAGGTTTATCATTTGCAACGACTCAGAAACAATAAAGCATTAGAACAATGCACAAAAAAAAGGCTAAGTATTGATAGCTATTACTTTAGTGTTCTACTATTATGCGCATATGTTATCGTTTGGAGTGTTGCCATTAAGTTTAGTGTGTTTTCTGCTAGTGCCACTATAGAGTTGGACACTTGGGGTATCTAAGTTTCCTTTCATCACACATCGAAAAAGAACAACACTTGCAGAAGTTTTGAATAGAAGCGAGTATGCAATTGATACCAGGTTCCCCAACCTCTTGCAATGAATAAAAGATGATGGAGTAATGTTTATCAAAAAAAGAAATATAAAAATTGGGGTGGGGGGGGGGGGGGGGGGCAAAGGATCACGATGATTATAATAAATTATCACATAAAACATTACTACATTGTTCTAAGAAAAGAATAAGAGTTTGTACACACCAAGCATTTGAGGCTCCAAAATAGGTATGAAGTTCTCTCTTTCTTTTTTCCTTCTTTCTTTTCCTCTAAAGTCTAAATGACTGATAATCCCTTTTTCCAATTACTTAATTAATTGAAAATTTCAGGACAAAAAATCTACAAATACATAATAATAGAGTTTATGGCAGTTTTTGAGCATTTTCAATTTTCTTTATGAGAGCAAAAATAGGAATTGTAGATTTTTCTTTACAGTTATGTCTTATTCATATGTAAAAGTACATTAGTATAGAGATTTCAATCATGATCTTTTTCAACAATGATATGCATCATTATCACTTAAACTAAATGAATTTGATCTATCTTTTTAAACTAAAAATATAAAGAAAACTAAAATTTCCAAAACATATGACTTTTCCACTACATCTTTTGTAAGTATTTCTTTGATGTTTGATATTTAGATTTTCATATCTTGTTTAGATGATTCAATTTTAAAAATTAATTTAGCGATTGGATAAAAATACACATTTCAAGTATATAAAAAACTTTAGTATATATTTCGTAAATACATCATATTCAAATGACATTCCGTCCAACGGACCGGACACCAATCCAGTTGATGATTGAAAGAGACATGGAAAGCAACTGTCAATCTTAATTATTTTCGTCCTGATTTCCTTTCTTTAGTTCTTTTGCTTATTATAATTTCCTTTTTAGTTTCAAAAGATAAAAAGATGATGAAAAAAGGAACAAGATGTTGAGTCGACATGTTGTCGCCGCGTCTTCCCCTCCCGTTTTTTCTTTTCTCCTTTCATTTTGTCATTATCTTCGTTCCGATGTAAACCGCTTGAAAAAGTAAAATGATAATTATAAAACCAAAGAGGGAGATCCTGTTAGTGGATTAGTGTCATTTTGACGATACCACATTACAAAAATTATTGTGTTTGTTATTTTCTGCTTCATTGTATGACATGCGACCTCTACACTTTTATATTTCATTGTATGACATGCTACTGGAACAACTTAATACATGAAAAGTAAGGACATACCTATGGAATTCACTCTAAGACTCACAAGTAAATGAAATATAAAATGGACAATAATATAGTTGTTGTCAGCTGCATTTTGCTTTGATGGTCTTCCATCAGCTAGTCCTAAAATAAACTACAGAATTTTATAAATCACTACTAGACATAGCTGGTTGTTTCAAAACAAGGAAAATTTCATACCTTTTCTTCGAAACCACTGTCACTATCAGAAAACATGTCATCCTGATATTTCTCGTCATTTTTTTCTCTTCCC